TGGCACGCACCTGTAATCCCAGCTACTCCGGAGGCTGAGGCAGGAGAATCATTTGAACCCCGGAGGCGGAGGTTGCAGTGAGCCAAGATCACGCCACTGCACTCCAGCCTCGGCGACAGAGCGAGACTCCATCTCAAAAAGAAAGAAAGAAAAAAGAAATATGCCAGAACTGAAGATGATGAATTTTCAGGTTGAAAGGGCCTGCCAGTATCCAACCTAATGGATGGAAATAGACTCTCACCAAAGTGAAATCTCAGAACACTGGGAGCAAAGAGAAGATTCTACAAGCTTCCACAGAGAATTAGTGGGTCGCATTACAAGGCTAGGAGTCTGAGCGCCTTCAGACTTCATGAACAACAACCATGGAAGCTAGAAGACAAGAGAGCGAGAGAACAATGCCTTTGAAGGAGAATCCTTCCCAATCTAGAATTTCCAATCTAGAATTTGATACCCAGTGAAACTGTCAAGTGTGAAGCTAGAATGGAGGCATTGTCAGACCCAGCCACCCCAAACGCGCACCTCCTTCGCGCTCTTTCTCAAGAAGTTACCAGGAGGTGGGCTCCCCCAAAACCTGACAGGCACTTCACCACACGGGTGGTGAAGGGACAGCCCAGGCTCCAGTCATTCCCTAGACCTACAGGGCAAGCAGTCTACCCTGGGGCCCAGTGACTCAGAGACGGGAACACTGAAGACTTGCCACCAAGATCCCTCTGACACTGGAAGCCCAGTGATGCCTGAGTACAGTGCTGAGAGAGCCTGGTCAGGACTCTGCACAGGCTTGGCCTGTCTTACATTGATGAAGTTCCTGCCCTCTCCTCCATGTCCTGCCGCCTGGATCAGCCCAGTAGGACCCTCGTGACACCCTTAGGAAGTGCCTTCTGCTTTCACCTACTCTTGAGGGTTGGAGGGACCAACTATGATCCTAAAAGCAGAAACTCAGAGCAGCCCACTCACTGTGACCATGCTTTTGCAAATGTCCGGCACCTGGTCCGCCCAGATGCCCCAGCTGAACCTGCATGACCTGGCCAGCTGAGTTCCCTGAACGGGGTCCTGTGGGTGTGGCACCTTTCCCACGCATTTTTTTTTTTTTTTTGAGACAAGGTCTCACCGTGTCGCCCAGGCTGTAATGCAGTAGCGTGACCTCAACTCACTGCAACCTCTGCCTCCACCTCCCAGGTTCAAGCGATTCTCGTGGCTCAGCCTCCCCAGTAGCTGGGATTACAGGCATGAGCCACCATGCATGACTAATTTTTGTATTTTTAGTAGAGATGCGGTTCCACCATGTTGGCCAGTCTGGTCTGGAACTGCTGACCTCAGGTAATCTGCTCACCTCAGCCTCCCAAAGTGCTAGGATTACAGGCGTGAGCCACCGCACCCAGTCCCCAAGCACATTCTGAAGAGTCTCGGTGGCCCTGGGAACACCCCTTGGCCTCACCTGGGCTCCAGCCGCTCCTTCACCTTGGCAATGGAGCGGACATAGGGCGTGATCTGCTTGGTGATGGTGGTCAGGTAGGCATTCTCCTGCCTCAGCTGGAGAAGGTCATGGAGCTGGGCTGTGGGGCCAAGGCCAGAGCATGGGGTCTTAATCCTGAAGCACCTGGCTTCAGGTTTTCACTCAAGCCAGGCACCATCTAAATATCCTGACCATTTCCATGGTGACCTCTAATTAAAGAGTGAGGCACTTGGTGGGGGCATTCTTCTCAATGAGTCCTGACCCCACATGCATCATTTGGGGCCGGTTAGCAGCCGGGAGGCACAGTCAAGCGCTAAGGTGAGGAGTGTGGGGATTTGCATCTGGTTAGTGGCCGACCCTGACTTCCTCCCTTGCTAGCATGTGGGTTAGCTCGGGGACAGGGGGTTCACTCAGCAGCCAACTTCCTGGAACCTTCATAAATCTCCTGCTCATTAGCCACTTGCTGATAGGATTCCTCCCAAATCTGAAAGAGAAAAGCTGGACATTGGATGTGGCAGTGAGCTGGAATTTACAGTGGTGGCACTGCTATCTCTAGCTACTCGGATCTACAAAGCACCCTCTAGCCAGGTCCACGTGATTCCAAGCAGCAAAGACTCCCAGGCTCCAGACCCTGCCACATGAGAGTCCTATAAGGCACAAGCCAGGTCCTCTTTCCCTGCTTACTGTCAGGGTAGCCCAGGTGTCCCCTGACAGGTGGGACTGGAGTTAGAGTCCTTGGGAGGGCTACCTCCTGGAAGACGACCCTCATGCCCTCTAAGGAGGTGTGCTCCGAGGCGATCTGCACGTCCAGTTGCAGGGACTTGCTCAGGACGTCTCCCATGATCTCCGCCTTGATGAGCGAGTGGTGCTTGGTGAGGTCTCGGTGCAGCTCCTGTACCTGATCCTTTAGGCCCTGCATCTCCGCCTGCAGATGCTGCACAGAGAGGCTGTGTGAGCGCGTGGGTCACCCTGGGCTGTTTTTACTGCCCGGGACTCGGTGGAGGAATCGCTCCCAGGTTCAGCAGCTGGGACAACTCAATTTTTCTGAGCGTACCTTGGTGAGGAGTGGGTTAGGACACTTCCCCCCCGCAGATCCCTGCCCGCTCACCCTGTAGGTGTCCTCATAGTGGCGGCAGTGCTCTGTGAAAGGCGTGTTCTTGCCCTCTGCCAGCAACACCTTGGTGCTGATGGACCGGTGCAGCGTAGGCTTTTGGACGGGTGACCCGGACATCTTTCCTACTGGAGAGGGGCAGTGGGGCCCCGTCAGCACCTTGGGGCCTAAGCCCCCTGCCAGCCTGGGGAGAGAGCCAGTGTGGATGCAGGGGGGTGCAGAAGTCTGCCCCTCCCCTGGCCTCCCAGGGCAGCCCCCTGGACTGTTCCGGGCTCTCACAGCCCTCTCCACCACCTGGAGCACAGCAGAGCCACCAGGAGCTTTGAAAAGCCTGGGGCAAGGCCTCACCCGGACATCCACATCTATTTTTTTTTTTTTTTTTTGAGACGGAGTCTCGATCGGCGCCCAGGCTGGAGTGCAGTGGCGCGATCTCGGCTCACTGCAAGCTCCGCCTCCCGGGTTCACGCCATTCTCCTGCCTCAGCCTCCGGAGTAGCTGGGACTACAGGCGCCCGCCACTACGCCCGGCTAATTTTTTTGTATTTTTAGTAGAGACGGGGTTTCACTGTGTTAGCCAGGATGGTCTTGATCTCCTGACCTTGTGATCCGCCCGCCTCGGCCTCCCAAAGTGCTGGGATTACAGGCGTGAGCCACCGTGCCCGGCCCCATCCACATCTATTTTTTAAAGTCCCTGGAGTGGGTTCCAGGGTGTGGGGCCAAGAGCAAGTCCATCGGAATGCTGCCAGGGCTAGGACTGAGTGAGTGGTGTGTTCACTTCTATGCTGGACACAGGAAGTGTGGGCCCAGTCTCTCTTAGTCTTTGGGGCCCCTGGGCACACACATGCTGTTTCAGCATTTCTCCTAACTCCTCCCCAGATGAGTCCAGGAATCAGGCTCCCTATGACTTCAGGCCACCTAGGTGGCGGTTAGCCCAGCCCCAGGTGCCCCACCCCAGGGGAGGCTGCAGCGGCGGTTGGGGGCCTGAGTCCTCCCCTTCTCCTTTAGCGGAGCTCCGAGTCAGGTCTGCCATGGACTTCAGATCCAGGGCTTCCTGCTCCCCTACTTAGAGGACTCGCCCTGGCCACCCCCTGTACCCAGACACTGTGCTGGGAGGGTGTCGAGCTAAGGATGGAGGAAGGAAGGGTGGCACCTGGCTTTTCCCTGGTAATCTGGCCTCTCAGCACCCACCCTCCCCCACACCTCAGTGTCGGGGACCTTGTGCCTGGCCTCCCCAGTTGCCGCTCACATGTTAGCACCACTTGCAGCAGCTGTCACCCGACGTGGCCCCAGCAGCAGCAGCGGCTCCAGGCAGCGCGCAAACTCGGCTCGGTGGTCACTGGCAATCTGGGCAGCAGGATGGGGTCATGAGGTGGCCTCCACTGCCCTGCGGGGCCCCTGACCCTGGCCCACCCAGGCCACTGCACACCTTGCTGCTCTGCACAGGCCTTAGGCAGTACGGCCGCGTGACGATGCCCTGCAGCCTCTCCATCAGCTCCTGTGGTAGTGAGGAGGGCCTCAGGCCGGTGGAGGTGTGGCAGCCGGGGGCAGGAAGAGGGGAGATGGAGGCGAAACACGTCTGTCTTTGGCACTTGACTTGGTGTCCCTTAGCGGTGCCCGCCCTCTTCTGGGACTCATCCAGACAAACCCCCCATCCCATCCGCAAATCCATAGGAGAGGGGGCGGCTGGACTCCAGTGGTCACTCCACCCCACGGAGGACCGGAGGCTCATGCCCCCTTCCTGGCTTCCCTGTCCTTGTAACAGTGGCCCTAACTGCTTTGCAGATGATGGAGTTGGGAGGGGGTCAGTCCCGAGACCCCTGGACCAGGCTCCAGGTGACAGGCTGCCCACTCCTGAGTTGGTGGCTTTGGTCTACAGGGTGGGCTCCTGGTGGGGAGGGGGTATCTGCAGGAGCAGAGGAGACTCACATAGCCCAGGTCCAGGAACTCAGCCTTGGTGGCCAAGCTGAGGAAGGAGGAACAGATGACCAGGTGGACCTGGGGGAGGAGACGCTGCTCAGTGCCTGGCCGGGGAGGAGGGACCCACCCGCACCCCAAGCTCCCTGTACCTGCAGGGTGGGCAGCAAGGTGGCCAAGTGAGAGAGCTGCTCCTTGAAGGCCTTGTCCTTCTCTTCGTATTGGCTGGGGGAAGGCGGCTGCCTGGTCTCCAGGGGGCCAGGAGCAGGGACGGGCATTTCCATCCCCCCAGCCATCTTCGCATGTCCGTCCCCGAACCCCTTCTCTGCACCCTGAGCCATGCTGCCCTCCTTAGCTGGGAGGACATTCGGATGTCTTGCTCCTCAGGGTGGAATGCCCAGGTTCGGAGCTGAGGGCATGGAGGCCAAGGGGTTTCAAAGGAAGCAAGCCCCCCTCCCCCAGCTCACCTCTGCACAGCCTGCAGCAGCACCGCTTTCCTCTCTGCCAGCCTCTCCTGGGAGAGATGGCGAGCATGCTCTTGATTTGTGCCCCAGCCCTGCCACCTCCCACCATGCCTACCCCCCGGACCCCCGCCACCTGCTGGTTAGGTATCTCTCCAACCTACCAGCCCTGCAGCCACTGCCTGAGGGCTTGGGTCCTCTCACCCTAAATGTCACCTCCCCAGGGAAGTCTTTCCTGACCACCTCACATCCCCACCACCAGCCTGGAGCAGGCCCTGGTTTCCCCTCCCAGTTGTCCTAGCAACTCCAGGAAAGTGCTTGGTGCAAGGCCTGCTGCCCCACTACGCTGGAAATCCACAAGGCCTAGGGACCGGCCCTGTGTCGCCAGTTCCCGGCTGGGTCGTTTATTCCCCAACCCCCACCCCGCACCTGCATGCTGCCGAAGAGGGCGTGGATAGCGTTCTCCTCCTCCGCAGCGCTGTGCCGCACCTCCTCCACCATCGCCTGCAGCAGCGCGATGGCCTCCCGCGTGGCCGTCTGCAGGGCCTTCACGGCCTGGGGGCAGG